CCCAATCCTTTCTGCCTTGCACAAACGTTCTGTGCAACCAAACTGGATCCAATGATTCATCACAGTTTTACAGAGATGTAATAATTTACTCTGCTTGTATGTTGCCCAGCATGAGGGAGTCCAAGTATCATTGAGACCTTTAAGCCCAACTACACTAGGTTATTCAATTATTCAGGATTCACATTTCTACACTAGTTCCAATTGTCTCAATATCTTGACTTAACAGGCTCCTCAGATCAACAGACACTGGCTTATAAGAAAGTATTCTAAATGATAGAAACCATGCTAACTCTTTTGGAAAGCCAGCATCTGCTTTCACAGTGTCCTTGACCAGTTAAAAGACCTTAATGAATTTGCAAGGTTTCAAATCACTCATGACACATTATGTGGGTCTCAGTGACAAAATTGCTGAAATGAAGATGAAGAGCTTACTTTCTGGGCATCTTCATGTCTTTCAAAACTAACGAAGCCAAAGCCTTTGGATTTTCCACTCTCATCAGTCATAACTTTCACGCTTAGGGCAGGACCTAAAAAGAGAATGAAATACTTACACTTCATATACAGAGTGTATTCTTTTTACCTTCTGAACATCCTCTTTGGAAGTCTTAATACTTAGTATATTTCACTTGCATTACAAAGGACTCCTGCACCAATAATAGTATCCAGTAATGTCATTCATTAACATAAATTTACTAATTGGCCCCAATGTTGAACTTCAGCCATTATGACTCAAGTCCACTATGCTGAATTTCTCTCCTACTGTATTTTTGACCAAAATGGGGCAAGAATTTCACCTCCAAGCGAGTGGAATTTTTTTTATTATGACATTTAAAAAGCATTAGTGCTTTCATCCTTTGAAACAGGTATTGAAAGCCAGAGAGGTGGCCTTGCAATTAGGTATGTGCTTCACCATTTATCCCAGTGAAGGCCCATCCCAGATCAGCAACTCCAAACTTTTGAGAAATTGCAGTTGTCAATCTCAATTGGGATAAGCTAATTTAGCCGTGGAAACAGCTCACTTTGGTACTGTTTCAACCACATATACTTCAACAGCAGAAAGGAATTCCTTGTAAATGCTGCTCAGGGCTGCTACAGAGTATCTCTTGCACAAGGCTTTCTCTTGCCATTAATGATATCTACTGGAGAACAGTAAAGCATAGAGGAAAGAAAATACACAAAAAACAAGCTGAGGTTGAAAATAAAACAGATGTGAAGAACCCAGTACTGAATCAAGGGGTTTCCCATTTCCTATTCTGATGGTGACATATCATATGCATTACTAGATCAAGGTCACACATCTGCCATAATTTTGCCCTGTGCATAACTGAGGATCAAGGCAGACTCATACAGCTTGGCAATGCAGTAGTTCCCTTATAATTTTGTATTAGGTCAACGACCACAATGCAACTGAGTAACAAAACTAAGTCTGTAGGTCAGTGAAAGCAATAGTACACTCATTTGTCATACATCCTGTAGTGCCTTCATAACATTAACCTGTACCAAAACAGGTAATACTTCAATTTGAAACTTCCAAGAAACTGCAGAACCCATTCAAGACTGTTTATAGACAAACTGATCATTGGAAACAATTCTGGTGGCAGGATTACATATGCTCCTCTGCCTATTTAAAATTCAGATATTATTGCACCTTTGAATCTGAAACTGGAATTAAGTACCAACTTTTCAGTACCCTTTATTACTTCTTGAAATCAACATCACCCAGCTGATTGCTTGTATTGCAAAACACTGCACAGATAAGATACAATAAGGAAGCTGAAGTTCGCTTGTGTTTATATGAACTTTAAGACATTACCAAACTTGCCAAAGAGTTCCTTAAGTCTCTCATCATCCATGTCTTCTCCAAAATTTTTGATGTAAACATTGGTGAATTCCTTTGCTCTGGCTCCAAGCTCTGCCTCACGTTCCTTGCGGGATTTAAACCTTCCAACGAATCTAGTTGCAGGAAGAACAGATTAAAACAAGTCAGTCAAGGTTAAAAAACTTACTTTAATCCTTTGGCATCATATTTTGCTCTTAATCAGTCTCGTCCCCTGTAGGTGTGAAATTCTTCAGCTAAATATTGACAACAAAACTCCATCAGAACAACAATTTCACTATCCTTTGCTACATCAGCATTGTTTATCACAGTTACTAGCCACCAAAATGCTTTCAAGCCATTGGCGAGATTGTTCACTCTTACAAAACAGCCTTTGACAGCAGGAGCTGGACAATGGAAAGGGTACTAAGTAAAGAGGCTAAACAGAAATTCTAGATATCAGCATAATCCCTCTGCCATACTAAAAACTTGGCAGCCTTAAAGCAGTTGCCACTCTCTGATCCAGATTTTAAGCAAGGGATATTTAACTAACCTCCCCCACTGCCTGACACACCTTTCCAGCCTGTACAAAAGAATTTTTTTTTTTTAAATAGCCATAGAGAAATAAATAGTTCAGCTTGCTCTTTATTCTAATACCACTGCAAAATGGCTGGAAACACCAACAGCTGGTTCATACCAGCAGAACCTGAACACAACATTCTGCAGCCCAAGGTCCTGCTCTGCACTTCTGCTTTCAAATTTTATTGTATTGTCTGGCTTTATAGTTCCAAATTTGGCAAATGCAATAAAGCATCATACAGCAACTCAATGATATTTTAAATGTTGACAACTTCACCCAATTTACAGTAATCAAGAATAGTAAGAATGATAGTGCAATGCAGATTTTGATAGAGAAGTACTTTAACTGACTTGTAAGAGCCTAGCCTGAATAGAAACTCCAACCAAAATTAACTCTCATGATGTATTTTACCCATGTGCTTTTATGACTACATGCTGACCTTTTTTTGAAGTTAAGGTTGTATAAAGACAGAAGATGAACAAAACCATCCACAGTATTATCAGTCAAGAACAGAACAAGCAGGAAAACTAAAGTTTTGAAATACACATCTCCCTGTATGTGGCTTGATCCATCCATCTCTACACGTAAAAATAATCCATGATGGTAACCTGATGCTGATTTCTGTTACCCTTTTAGCTATTCTTTTGCAACTCTACCAAATGCCATAATGATCCCTTAGGCATAGCTACGAGGCACACTCACCCCTCCCTCCAGCCCAGATATCGCTACTCAAGTAGCCTAATAACTTTTTTCCTACAGTATAGAAGTGATTATGTTTGAAACATTATGTTTCTACTCCCTAGATATGCCTATTTAACAGACATTCATATAAAACCATTCGTGTAATCTGAGCACTCTTCAGTGCCAAGGAACTGTAACTCTAGAGCTTTAAGTTTCATCCAAAAAATGGATAGAACACCTATCTCAACTCCTACAAAAGAAGTATTATTCAGCATGGATTGTATTCTCAGACCAATAAGATCAGAAATCCAGAGAAGTTCCCAAATCCTCATTATAGTATTGGCCTGTAAGACAATTAAAACAATGATTTTTTTTTTCCCCCCTAGAGTCTATTTCTTTTTGAACTCATCCTGCCTTTAAAATAGGCATATGATACAATTCATAGTATCCCTAGCACTAAAACTCTAAATCCTCTTAAAATTAGAGATTTTTAGAGCAACCTGCCTTTCCTAGGTAAGCTTTTAAATCGTTGTCCCCTGTAAAATGAGTTTCAGTTTGCTGATCTCCAACTACGTGTTTATGTACTTACACTTTGCGGTCATTAAGCAGCATTCCATTCATTTTCTCAATAGCTCTTTCTGCAGCTTCCTGTGTCTCAAAATGTACAAATCCATAACCCTTGGATCCATTTTCGTCACATACCACCTATTAAAGAAAAACCTTGCTGTAATACCCACAGAATGTTTCTAGCTTAAACTGAGGAGCTTGTGCATCAAAGCCAATTTATTTTCCACTAACCTTACAAGACAGGATGTTCCCAAAAGCAGAAAATGTGTCATACAAAGCCTTGTTATCAATTGATTTGTCCAAGTTTTTGATGAAGATGTTTCCCACACCGCTTTTGCGTAGAGATGGATCGCGCTGAGACCACATGATACGCACTGGTTTGCCTTTAATGACATCAAAGTTCATGGTATCCAAAGCTCGTTCAGCTGGAAAAACATTATGGAATTAGTAGAAAACACTAAAGTTATCTTCAGAACCACACAAACACCATCTGAAGCACAATTCCTAATAGTACTTTTACTATTTGAGGTCCAGCAGCACCAGCAAGATGCAGACCCAAATCCCCAGTGCAAATAAACCCCACTCTGCTTTATCCAAGTAAAAACTGGCAGAAACTCCTCAGCAAAAGCTGCACTTAGGTGAAAGGAAGCAGCACAGGTCAGCTGAGCAAGCTGGACAAATCCCAGCAGCCCATAGGACTGCAGCTCACTATGAAAATATGGTACAGTGACAGGAGAAAATGCATCCAGTGGTAGCGATGTTTGAACATTGTGAACATCAGTTGTCCTCTCCCATACCACACAGATGCATACTTTGTCAATAAAAATGCTTTTAGGGGTACAGCTTGTGCCTATATGAGGCCTTTGGCAAACATTAGCATAAGAACTCCTACGTCACTCATACCCCTCAGCTGACAAAATTTATTTGCTAGGTGCATGTTCGAGCCTGGTTCAGGCAGCTGTTACACACAGCTGCTTCCTCAGTGACCAAAGAGATCTGTGATGGACTTCCAGGCAAGAGTCAGTTCAAAGAGATTCAAAACTAGCACTTGCTTAATTTTGAAAACCTGAAATGATATACATATTCTAAAAGCTGATGAAATACATCCCAGCCTAATGAAGGAGCAAGCATTAAACCAGCAAAACAGTAACCTAAACCAGGTTTCACTACTCCAATGGAGCAGTTTTTCCAGTAGAACTCTACAACTTCTCAAATCCTGAATGCAAAATCTCAGTGTATTTAGATGGGGAAGTATCAAGACTTGTTCAGTTTTCATACGTTCCTTCAAAGCAACAAGACACATGCAACGTTTTAAGACAATGATGCATTTAAGGAAGAAAAAACAACAGTTCTCAAGTACTGCAGCTCCTTTTCATTCTTGTTCCTGTATGTCTGGAAATACACTGAGGCAAGTCCCAATAAGCATCTGAAGTCACACCCATTGGTAGGAACTCACTTCGCTGCAATTTACATGTAACAGAACAATATGTTAACAAGACTGGAATTGCCTTAGTGTCATTTCAAACACAGCAACCATGGCAGTTAATGGCTTATCTTGGGAAGACCAAGGGACAAACCCCAGGTTTTACATCCCTTGTCCTCATGCTTTCAGATTACAAGTGAATGTGAAGATGATATTCTCTGAAATACATCTTTAGACATTAACAGGACAGACATCTAATACCTTCTTGGGGAAAAAAGATATTGATACTATTACCATATTCACATGACACTAGCAACTCAACAACTGGTTTAAACTGAAGCCACAAAAATTACAAGCACTGCCAGTCTCCTAAATAAGTTATTAAACTTTCACAAACTTTAATATAAATTAAGCAGGAGAGAAAAGACAACCTAGACACTGAGAACGAGAACCCAACATCAATGGAAGGTTTTACACTACATGGGACAGATGGCAAAAAAAAAAGGAAAGGAAAAAAAGAAGAAAAAGGGAAAAAAAGGAACTGTGGATATCAGACAGGCCACAGTAGAAACATGTGAGACTTCACTATTGCCCTGGAAGTCATTAGAATTATTACTGCCAGCACCAATGAAACTTCCAGCAACAAACAGTTCATTATTCCACAAGTAGTAACAGGGCTTCCTTTACTAGAAAAGAGGCTTTTCTAATTCATGCTAATTGCTTCTAGAATAATCCTGACGCTCCTCAAAAATGTGTGTTCCTAGACACAGTTCCCAAACATCTGACTCAAAGTGGGTCCATACTAGCCCTTGCAAACATTTACCACTCTCAACTAACAGTGAGCCTATGTCTCAGGCCAGCGCATTTCTCCACAAGGACAACACAGAAACTCTCTACGGAGCAGAAGTACAGGGAATTAAAATATTTCTGCTTAACCCAATACTCTGCTGTCATTCCACAGTAGATTTTAAAACATTACTAGAATCCATCTGCAGCCATGTACAAGCTACTCATTAAAATTCGGAACTAGTGAAACTGGCTCACTTTCATTACATTTCAGCCATAAAAGGCTGCGCCGGTTAAGGGAGGCAGCTCCATTCAGCAGCGAACTTGTTACCAATGGACACACCTACCCAGGCTGTACTTCTGCTGATTCTGCTGGAGCTCTGATTGAATGACTCACCAGCTCCCATTTTAGTCGTGAGCAACTGGACAGTCCACTTCAACAATTTGAAAATCACACAGAATATAGGCTTAATGCTCACCTGTGCTAAATGTAAATAGCAACAGCTATGAAACAACAAACCTCTGGAAATATAACCATGAAAATCTGAAGGAGAAGCGCAGTTTCAGATTCCTCACGAATATTTCTACTTTAGTGATTAAACGAGATTGCCTGAGTTTTATGCCAGACTATGACTCAAATTCAGAAAAGTCACAACTCTGAAACATGTGCATACCTCACCTATGTGTCATCAGGCCTAATGAGGTTTCGGGAGAGCTTTGAGATCCCTTGTTCACAGTCAGATGGTAATGTCAAACACACCTTCAAAGATGTTTTTCAAAACCCAAGCTAGTTGTTACCAACTGTTTAATAGGCATACCCTGAGATGGAGCTAAAAATCTGGCTAAACCAAGAAATGGTATCTAGCTTGGAGTCAAAGTGAAACCAGAGTTACTGAAAGAATAACCCTTCATCCTCTGAGCTATTTCAAGGGTTCAGTAAACGAACAGAATGATCTACAGAAAAAAAAAAGATTAAAAATGCTTTCTAAGTATTTGGCAAGATCAAATTCTAAAAATGCTAAAAAAGTGTAATCACAAAACATTAACTGAAGTGTATTTTGAACAAGTCCTTCCAGATACGTGCCAGATGCAGGTTTGATACAGGTGAGAAATAAGTTTACCTGAACTGGACTAGTTATAAAAGTAAGATACGTATGTTTCCCAAAGTCTGAAAAACGTATCACTTGGAGCACATTACCAAACACTGAACTAAGCACTGCTCAGGTGAAAAAGCTACATTTATTCCTACATTCGACAAATTAGAAAGCAAGTCACAAAATGTACTGGTTGCTCAGCTAATGACAATGATAAAAGTCGGCCCTTACAGAATTCTGTCTGTATCACGTTCAGCTTCTGCCCTGACATTATCATATCACAGCACTGACCTGTGCTAACTCCCTCTTTTCCTTTCTGAGAAACTACCATATGCTTTTATGGAATGAGAGCAAAGTATGCCAAAACAAGCATTCAAATCCTCTCATCCTAAGACAATGGCTGAATAAATCAAAGGCTCTCTGAACTAGTGAGCTGATAACAGGTGGAATATCTGCCCATTAAGAAGATGAGGCAGTAACTTTTACTACTTACATACAGATATCATCGGTACACCAAAGTCTGATCTGATAATGGCTGTATGCTAAAGCCAATCTTGAAAGCCAGTTAATCTAATTGCTTGAAAAGTTTGTCATTTAAGTCTCTCACTTTCATACACTTGAAAATAAAACCATTATAACAGAAAGCTGTTTGCTTAACTGTACTTGAAATCACCTGTGTTCTAGCCGGAGAATTATTATTTCTCTTTTGATTGGACTCCATAAAACTTGGAATGAGTCGCACTTGGCTCTTCTATCGCAACACAAGCAGCTGTGTTGCCGACATGACCAGAGCTACACGGAAAGTTTATCGATATAACTTCAGAGAACCAGCAACACACCACATAAAGGCAGGTTTCACAGAAACACAACCGGCCGGGGAATTTACTGCCAACGGGAGCGGGTGAGAGCAGGGATTGCTGGATGCGGCGCGGCACGAGGAGGCCCGAGGAGTTTCACGCACGTGAC